CTTGCACAGGACCCTGCAAATGAATGGAGTGCCTTATGCTATATAAAGTGATTTCCCTTGCATTCAGTAAAATAAAATAAGTTTTAATGGGCTTAAGTGATTTGCTTAAAGGCACACAATTAATGTATGTCTGGGGCTCAAAATCGTGCCCTTTCCCCTGTTGTAATTGTTCTAGGAATATGTATGTATTGATCGACTTTCTACCTTTCATGACTAGAGAATAGGTTCAAGGGTTCGGAATGCTGCCATCTTGACAATTGGGCAGACTCAGATAGCGCCAAGACAGGGTGAGGATGAAGGGAAACATTTTTATCCCCGCATCGGTTCCCTTTTTCAAAGACAGAATCGGGGTACTGGTATCAGTTCCTACTGGTTATGATGATAGTAATGATCCAAATAACTAACCATTCCTGAGCACTCATAATATGCTAGTGCTTTATTAAGCCCAAATAATAGTCTCAAAGCCTTCCAAATGGACCTTCTTCTCTTAAAGTTACAGAGAATGTAGACCCAGAGAAGTAATGTTAAATTTTTTGACGTTGTAAATTTTGAAAAATGCTTATAGTATGTTCTATATTTTATGAGTCTATGGAATAACTATCCATGTAGGTGATGAAATGAAGAGAGGTTTGATACAGTATGTGGCATGAGTATATCTACTGAAATATGACTGATTTTCATATGTCATTTATAAAAATTGGCTTCATTATCATTCTGTAGGGTCATTTTATTTGTGTATGTTACTTTAAATGTGCACATGTGGAAATTGTTTTGTTTTACTTAAAGACATGTGGGTAAGGCTCCTCTTTGTAAAGAGCTGATTCCCTGGGAAAGAACAGGGGATGATTTCATTGCCTAGTGACCCAAATAATAAAGTTAAAGTTTCCTGCCTACTCTAGAAAAAAAATGAATATTTTATATACATAAGTCTTTGACACTAGATTCCTTTTCCTAGATATTCATTTAAAAATGTAATTGAAATACCCTTTTTTTAAAAATCTAGTTTATCTATGGCAAACACAAATATTTTGGGGAAATATTTCTTGGCATTATCCTTCAATGTTAATTTTTTGTTTAAACAACTTTTAGATGCTTCCAGGAGCCCAGGAATGAGATTAACTTCTTTTTAAGATTAAAAAGAAAAATAAGTTAGCAAGATCACAAAACTAAACCTTTAGTCTGTTTTTCTTTTCCCGATTTTCACATTACTTCCTTTATATTAATTTTACCTTATTGCATATTCATGAAGGCCGACTTTGAAATAAGAAATACATACTGAGTACTTTTTAAGAACTAAGACTATGTCTTCTCCTGTGATGTGAATTATATCCTTCAAAATACATATGTGTTTGCATGTGTTCAATTAATGTCATTGAATAAATAAGTGAATTCATCTACCAGTCAATAAGCATGAATCCAAAAGCTCTTCTAGAATATCATGGCCTCTGAAGATTAGAGTAAAAGTGAAAGCACTTTACTAAATTAGATATAAAGGACATGGAAGACAGAGTAAATTTAATAAATTATTTTCAAATTTCAAGTGAAGTCAAGCTTACTTATTTAGGATCTATAATGTGGAAATTCCTCTAGTCATGATTGGGAGTATAAAAATGGTGAAATCGTGGTCTCATCTTTGAGAGACTTACCATCAACCAGGAAGGCATGGCATATGCTCAGAAACCTTAATTAAGTGCCTATGAATGGGACACATAGATGTAAAAGATCCAAGAAATACGTATGGAGTGGGACGAGAGTTATTTGAGTTTGAACTTGAGGTTTAAGTATAATATGATGAGTTGAAATAGAGGAAAGGGGAGATTCTATGTGGAAGAAAAACAGGAGCTGGAAATGAGAAGAGTATAAAACAAGCACAAGCAAAATTATAGACCTATAAATTCACGCAATTTCCGTGTGAAAAGCAAACTGACTGCTCTGGGGCAGAACCCAGGTGCTGGGGGACTGTGTTTAGACATAATTAACAAAAACAAAAACATAAATTTGACTGCAGCAAAAATTTGAACTTTATTTTCTAGGCCCCATTTCCAAATGCATGTCAATGGGTGTTGAGTGAGGGGAAGGGGTAATTTGCTTATGTAACTTTGGAAAATGAAGTGACGCTCCACTGTTCAACAAGATTGCTTACTGTGAGGATTCTCAGGAGCCTTCAGTTTGTGGACATTAGGAAGGGGGACCATTGTAGGAATTTCACAAACATTTTGCCATAGGATCTCTTTCTGTGATTTGTCTGTCTGTAGTGATATTTCTCCTCTGGACCCATGTTGGGAACAAGCAGTTTTTTTTTTTTAATTTTTTATTGTTATGTTAATCACCATATATTACATCATTTGTTTTGATGTAGTGTTCCATGATTCATTGTTTGTGCATAACACCCAGTGCTCCACGCAGAACGTGCCCTCTCCAATACCCATCACCAGGCTAACCCATCCCCCTACCCTCCTCCCCTCTAGAACCCTCAGTTTGTTTTTCAGAGTCCATCATCTCTCCTGGTTCGTCTCCCCCTCTGACTTACTCCCCTTCATTGGGAACAAGCAGTTTTTGACAGTTAAGAGTCACAAGGAGCATTAAGGCAGAGAAAGGACATGGTGAAAGTACTGATTTGGGGGAAAAAATATGGTAGTAGTATGTGGAGAGACTGACATCCCCTGCAATAAGGGGTTGAGAAGAGAAGTTGTAATGATACATGAATAGTGGAGATGAACGCTTATTTTAAGATACAAAGCGGTAGAGTGCATTTTTAGATCCAATCACTGCTTAGAGATGAAGTATTGTAGGAAGAGCTGGAGATAAAGACTTGGGTGTGATTTGTATACAGGTGAGAGTACAATCTGTTAAGATGGATTCCCAGAAAGAGACTACAAAGGAAGAACAGAGGTTTCCGTTATTCACGGAAACATTTATCTTTACTTTCTTGGAAACGTGAGGAGAAAGATGACCAGAGTAAGAAGAAATCAGAATAGTTTAGTCCAAAAAAGTGAGATTTGAATAAGGATCTTGCTGTGAAAAGCTGGTTTTGTTGATTTGCAAGATAAATTTTATTATAATTGTGAGAATGAAAATGAACATTTGTGGGTGTGTGATGGTGGAGTAGTAAGAAAATGAGCATTGTAAGGCAGAACTTCCATGCAGAGGACACAGAGATACTGACCCTATTAGAGGGACATTGGATTATTGGGAACCTGAAAGTGTGGGTCGGTTGGAATTTTGAATATTTTTTGATGAGTTGATATAGGAAACGGTGATTATGTCCCATGTTCAGGGACTTGGAAAACAATGAGAGGGATTGTAAAGAGGCAGAGAAACTGAAAAGTGTAGAAAAGATAAAATCTGATAGCTTGTTTCCCAGGGCTATGATCTTCTCAGTGAGGTGGTGTCTTGTGGAATATTAAACTCTTGTTCGGAGAAATATGCTAGAGAATCAGGGGAGACTTCTTTTTGAATTTAACACCTAGTAACACATTTAGCAAATGATAATAAATAGAAATAAATTCTGACGAGAATTTTTAAATTATTGTCAAATTGTTTTACCGTTTCATTTTTGTTAGGGAAAATTAATCTTAAAGAATTGTAGTATTTCGGGGTACCTGGGTGGCTCAGTTGGTTCAGCGTCTGCCTTCGGCTCAAGTCAGGATCTCCAGGTCCTGGGATCGAGCCCCGCTTCAGGCTCCCTGTTCAGCGAGCAGTCTGCTTCTCCCTCTCTCTCCCTCTGCCCCTCTCCCCCTCTTGTGCTTGCTCTCTCTCAAATAAATAAATAAAATCTTTAAAAATTTTTTAAATTAAAAAAAGAGTTGTGTTATTTCACAATTTGTGACTTAATTGTATTTTTAATTTTGAAAGCTTATAAATTGTCAAAGTCCAGTTGCTTTAATGTAAGTGTTCTTTAAATGCTAAACGTGTTCATCTTAGTTGTACTGAGGATATTTCACCCTATGTTTTTCAATTTGAATTATTATCCTTGGGCTGTGTGTTTCATTATTGTCTGCTAATCCACACTATTATGTAGAAAATCTCTTAGAAGTAACAACCCTAATACTGTCATAAAGCACCCTGAAAATGTAGATGCCCATTAAGTGTTCAGCAGGGGTACATTTCATTCATAATATAGCAGTACCCTCTAGTGCTCATGCTTGGTCATGTGTTCTCCAAAACTGCCTTACAGGGCTATATGTCACCTATTGAATCACTTTACTCGGGTTTAGCTTTAAGTGAAATATTCTATTATTCATAACATCACCTTCTTGAAAAGGAGGTCAGGTATTTCCAATATTACTCAAAAATATTACCAGTACTTTTGTGCTGTAGGGAAAAATGGCTATTCCGTCTATTTTGCTCATGTAAGTAAATGAAATGCTTGAGAACAAAGAACCAAGAAGTTGGTTAAATTTCTTAAGTCATTTGTAGAAATGGAAGTAGGGTCTAAGTCTTTTGTTCCAAGGTTCAGTTCTGTGCCATATGCATTGGACGATGCATCTGATCCGAGAAAGTTTAAAGCTATAAATGTATATGTCCAAAATTCTTCATTCTTTAATGGAAATGTTTCTTAAAGAATATTACTCTATTTTGAGAAATTTTGGATTGTTGGTTTACAACACAGCACTGCCAACATACTGCAAAGGAAGTTGTGCTGTATTGAAATTTGATTTACCATGCTTAAACATGTTAATTCAGAACGAAAGGAATCTCCAGCCAAACTATCCATGAGCAAGAAGGCCTGGCTTATTTGCTTTCCAAAGCCTCAACCCAAGCTTGATCACTGAGTTTATATGCAGATTGTAGACCTGCATAGCTGTAAGACCTTGACCATTACTTACTCTGACTTTGGTAGTTTTAATTTTTATTACAGACTTGATTTGGTCAGGTGTTCTCACCAAAATAGTAGATCCACATAAGAAAATAATTCTAATTTCTACATATGTTTCTGAATAGCTTCCTCGGGTAATTTGAGTTTGCTATTAATAAATGTTTTTGGTATCCATATTTAGTTGTTACAGGGTAGGTCACCCAAACCCGACAAGTGGGAGCTCCAGATGGGCAGTGGTGGTGGCATGGTTGAACAGGTCAGCGGGGACTGTGATGATGAAGATGGTTGTGGTGGATCAGGAAGTGGAGAAGTCAAGAGGACACTAAAAATCACAGACTGTAAGTGTATGATTCCAACACCACTTCTAAAGAATGAATTTTGAAGTGTAATTGAGGATAATTATTACTACGAATGCAAAGGAATAAGGGCAGTGAATTCAGAAGCATACAAATGGAATTGGAAAGGACAATGAAACCATTTTCATTTATTCAGGACATGTATTCTTGGGGCTGTTGTTCATTTTTAACTAATGGCTTTCAATGGAAATGACATTTTTTTTTCTGTGAAAGATTTGTGAATGACCAGTTCTGAGAATTAAAGGTTTTAAAGTCGGATAATCCTCAGGGCTTGAAATAACTAGCAGAGTGGCTATTAGATGTATATTGGCAAATAATGTGAAATCAGGATAGGAAAACTCTACTAAATAATCAGATTCTGCAACTTCATTATATTGCGCCATTCTGTAAGAGATATCTTACTAGGTTTTCATCATAGTTGAATTACAACGAAATTGGTTAAATATGGGGTTATTTATAATGAAAAATTACTTGGATTTAACTCTTAAGAATTCATTCTTCCCAAAAACTCTCACCAATCATTCGCCTCGTTTTGATTGTATGGGTTTGAAAATCATTTCCAGTATTGCGGGACTGGTCACCACCACACAAGCTGGAACTTCCAAATGACAACAACAACAAATCACCAGATGAATTTTGTTTTCTTTTCTTCACTTTACAAAATGAGTAATACTGGCTCTCCTTGTTACGCACATGCAGATGTTCACATGGGCAAGACAAACAAAGCTATCAACTGAGAAAGCAGTGTGCAAGTTAGTGTACCCAGGGCAGCTAACTTTTGGCTCTTCATTTATCTGAGGTCATATCAAAGGTGACTACTTTACAAAGTAATTTTCTGGACCTGTGCAGCCCTGTCTGGAGGATGGTGGGAGAGTCTCCCTCTAAATCACGGAGGGCTGCTTTGGAACTGTTAGACATGTCCTTTCTTGACTTTGGTGGGAGAATTCATTTACTTTTCACTTATTGTAGTAAATTTAGATCACTACACATGCTTCAAGCATCAATACCCCATTCTTTCTAGGATCTTGTTTTATAAGGCAAATATATTGTTTAAAGGAATGAAAGCCACAGAGGTGCAAAATCCAAAGGGCAATTAATATAAAGAAATATGTTTTCCTGTTTGACACAAAGAGAAAGTAAATAGTTGGGGTTTAGTACACTGGAGCAGCAATTGAACAAAAGGCCACAAAAATTTCTTTATGTATTAATGCAATTTCCTAGTGAAAATTAAGTATCTTCTACTTGTGTAGGAGCAGGTAAGGATATGTGTTTTATTATTGGTATTAATATAGTTTATCAGATTGATTCTTCTGTTTTCTATATTTTGCTGTTTAGGCCAAAACAATAAAAAGGGAAGAAGTAGAAAATGCAAATAAAAGGGTTTTCTAGAAAAAAAAATTATTCTTACTAAGAGTTGAAATGTCCTCCATTGTATTTTGGAATTAGGATACTTATCTATTAGGTTAATATTAGTTAATCTTTCATTTTCATTTTATCTTGAGTATTTATATGTATCATAATTTCATTGCCATTTGAATATTACGGTTTTAAGGAATAAACATTGATATAAAAATAGTTTAGGTTGAAATTTCATCTATAAATTATGTGTGTGTGTAAGTGTAGAATTTAGCATTTTTATAGGGATTTTTTCACTCTTGGATTTATTTATAAGCTCAAGAATTCATTATGTATTAATACATAACTCTTGTTTTATTTCACAAGAGAAGTAGAGACAGTGGAGGATATTTAACTACTAATAATTTTCTCACAAAACCATACTTGTCAAGGTGGCAAGAATGCATTTTTACTTCAAAATCCTGTTTTCAATTATTACTGATATGAACAGGTGTGGTACAAGCAACTATCCATCAGAATTGGAGAGATTTAAGATTTAGATGGTTTTCAGCAACTCCAGGCAAACATTTAAAAAAATCCACACCTGCTATAAGTGGGTTGCTTCTCATGTTTCTGAGTTTATAGCTGTTACCTTTCAATTTTTAATAAGTGGTTAGGAAACCACTGTGGGTAGTAGGCTGAAATAAACAGGGACAGAGAAAGTAGCAAAGCATAGGTCACGTTTCTATTTTTATAAAGCACTATCATATTTTCCGTGTGTTTGGCTCGTTTGATATATTGCTAAAGCAAGCTAAGACATAGTTTTGGGCGGTCTTAATGACTTAAAACTCATGTGCTCTAGCAAGTTTACCTGGTGTTGTTTGTGTAAAGAACTTGAAATGCACTTATATCTTCTATACACTGATGTTATTCTTTATAAAAAAAGAAGTAACTAGAATACAGTTCATTTGTCACCTCAAAAATGTCTCATTAAAAATAGTTACACGTACATGTATGTATGTATGTATAGCCATATATATATACATTACATGGAATAATACTAATACTGTGTTCTGCAAATTAGATTTTGCTTCATTTATGAAAATTTTCAAAGTTAATGAATATTTTACTAATTATCGCCTGACCTGATGTTCTGTCTGCTTTTGTTCATGTTTATTTCAGGTAACAGAGAGATCGATACACTTTAAAGTGCAAAGTTTTACCATCAAAATATTTATATACTTTTTAGGTATGATTTTGTTTTCATCACCGATGGTATCAAATAATTTAACAAATATTTAGCTTTTAAAACTACCTGAATTACAGGATCTAAATGGCTTTGAACCTTCATTTTGCCTCACCTCTGACACTCACTCTCCTTTCAAAGTCGCTAATTGATGTGGGTTCTGAACACCGGTGGAAAAAACAAGTTCTGTTCTCGTAGCCAGGCAGAGCAAACAAATGGACACTATCATCAATACTTTTTCAACTACTTGACTATTCTTCTAATATCCCCCAATTCTGAGAGTTTCAAATGAAAAACAACCCAGAATGCCACTAAAAAACAGGTTGTCACAAAACCATTTCCTGTATAGTTTGAGAATAGTAGCACTGCTTGCAATTCTCATGTGATAATATAATTTCAGTTTCTTTTTAAAAAACAAAGAATATGTAACCTGTGACCAAATTCATTTTGATAACAGTGGTTTACACTGATAACTCAGGCAAAATGAATTTGACCACACATTGATTCAGATAAAATACATTCAAGAAGTGTAGGGTGATTTTCAGTCTTCCAGTTGTTCGAGATAATTTCTCTTGTCATATTCATCATGGCTCATATAATGTTATATAGTGTGGTTAGCAGTTTTAAGAATAATTTTATTTTAGCTGAGTAACCGTAAGTGACAACAAAGATCGTTCAATGTGTGTTCAGGTGACTTTTGTTCTAGTGGTGCTCTCAGCATGCCTCTGTAGAAGGGTCATTGTGTGGGCTCCTTCAGAAGGACTTAGTCATTAGGTTTCTTATTTCATGAGCTACTCTTCCTCTTCTCATTTATGGGTTTTCATCATCAACCCAAGTTCTAAGTATTTGAAGAATCCAGGACTCAGTTCTCAAACCTCGTGTCATCTCTGTTCTCATGATTTCCTGTTCCACAAACTGCTAACTGCATCATAAGAAGAGTAGGGATATGGTACTGGTCATTAATAGCACCATCCAGTTTATGAAATATTCCCCTGTGTTTTATCTCAGGAGGTAAGCTTATGAATACTGGAAGTGTTCAACATGATGGAGATTATTTTGGAATCAGAAGGGTAATACATCGAAATATAAAGTTACTAGATCTGGAACGAAATTTTGGTTCACCTTCTGTAGCCAAAAGTAAACAGTTTATATTGGCTTTGGACTTGTCACTTAGTAATTAACCTTGGAGCAGCTTCTAACAAATGAATCTACAGCATGGTACTAACAATGACCTTGGAAGAGAATAGTGCGTTCCGTGTGCATGGTAAAGTGAAAATAGTACATTGTTAACCACTGAAGAATAAAGGTTGCTGATTTATTTAGTAATGCAGGATTACAGAGTGAGTGAAAATTCTTGGCTTCCTCAAACTTATTTTCACCATAAATCACCTTTATTTCAAAATCTCAGGCATAGAGGTCAGGGGGAACTGAAAAAAAAAATTACAAGTGGCATTTTCCTTAGAAAATGCAATCTTTTTTTCCCCAGAATTACTAAAACTATGTAATTATTCATTTTGTAGAAATTATTTTATTTTATCTACTGATGATTTTTCTTTCCAATATAAATTATGTCAAACAGATAATGCAAGCATGTATTTGTTTACATTATTAATAGTTCCAAAAAGGGCACTGGTTGGCTCAGTCAGTTAAGGGTCCAACTAATGATTTCCTCTCAGGTCATGATCTCAGGGTCATGGGATCGAGCCCTGTATGGGGCGCCACGCTCAGCACAAAGTCAACTTAATATTCTGCTGGAGATTGCCTCTGCCCCTCCCCACTTCTCTCTCTCTTTCTCTTAAATAAATAATCCTTAAAAAATAGTTCCAAAAGAATAATAGTTCCAAATAAGCACATTAAAAGTATGTGCATTCTGGGCGCCTGGGTGGCTCAGTTGGTTAAGCGACTGCCTTCGGCTCAGGTCATGATCCTGGAGTCCTGGGATCGAGTCCCACATCGGGCTCCCTGCTCAGCAGGAAGTCTGCTTCTCCCTCTGACCCTTTCCCCTCTCATGCTCTCTCTCTATCTCATTCTCTCTCTCAAATAAATAAATAAAATCTTAAAAAAAAAAAAAGTATGTGCATTCTTTCTAACATTAAATTCTCATCAAATTCAGTTAAAATAAATTGTATTTAGTTTCCTTTGCAAAGTGAGATAAATAGCCCTTTAATATATTATCCTCCATATAAGAAAGTTTACTGAGAATAATTAAGGTGCTTATGTGTTTTACTTTATTCAGTGATGCTAAAAATAAATCCTCTTTATAAGGTTATCTAGATTCAAACCTTTGTGACACAGTAAAATAATCTTGAATAATGACTATACACTTTAAAGTACATTTACAGTGCCTAATACTGAAGGATCATGATAAAGCCATTAAAAATGTCACAAAGAAACTCTTCTTGATTCTGTTCAATGTTCAAAATTATAAACACTTTGAAATTGTCA